CCTCCCTTCAATCTCTCCCCTCTCCCCCTCCCCCAATCTTTCCCTTCTCCCCCTCCTCTTTCCCTTCAATCTCTCCCCACTCCCGTTTCGCCTCAACATCTCACTTCTCCCGTTTCCCCTCAATCTCTCCCCTCTCCCACCCCCCTCATCATCTCCCCTCTCCCTCCCCCTTCTCCCCTCAATCTCTCCCCTCTCCCTTCCCCCTCATCATCTCCCCTCTCCTCCCCCTTCCCCCCTCAATCTCTCCCCTCTCCCTTCCCCCTCATCATCTCCCCTCTCCCTCCCCCTTCCCCCTCAATCTCTCCCCTCTCCCTTCCCCCTCATCATCTCCCCTCTCCCTCTCCCTTCCCCCTCAATCTCTCCCCTCTCCCTTCCCCCCTCAATCTCTCCCCTCTCCCTTCCCCCTCATCATCTCCCCTCTCCCTCTCCCTTCCCCCTCAATCTCTCCCCTCTCCCTTCCCCCTCATCATCTCCCCTCTCCCCTCTCCCTTCCCCCTCAATCTCTCCCCTCTCCCCTTCCCCCTCATCATCTCCCCCTCTCCCTCCCCCTTCCCCCTCAATCTCTCCCCTCTCCCCTTCCCCCTCATCATCTCCCCTCTCCCTCCCCCTTCCCCCTCAATCTCTCCCCTCTCCCTTCCCCCTCATCATCTCCCCTCTCCCTCCCCCTTCCCCCTCAATCTCTCCCCTCTCCCTCCCCCCCTTCCCCCTCAATCTCTCCCCTCTCCCTTCCCCCTCAATCTCTCCCCTCTCCCTCCCCCTTTCCCCTCAATCTCTCCTCTTTCCCTTCATCCTCTCCCATCTCCCTTCCCCCTTTCCCCTCAATCTCTCCCCTCTCCCTCCCCCTTCCTCCTCAATCTCTCCCCTCTCCCTTCCCCCTCATCATCTCCCCTCTCCCTCCCCCTTTCCCCCTCAATCTCTCCCCTCTCCCTTCCCCCTCATCATCTCCCCTCTCCCCTCTCCCTTCCCCCTCAATCTCTCCCCTCTCCCTTCCCCCTCATCATCTCCCCTCTCCCATCCCCCTTCCCCCTCAATCTCTCCCCTCTCCCTTCCCCCTCATCATCTCCCCTCTCCCTCCCCCTTCCCCCTCAATCTCTCTCCCCTCTCCCTTCCCCCTCATCATCTCCCCTCTCCCTCCCCCTTCCCCCTCAATCTCTCCCCTCTCCCTCCCCCTTTCCCCCTCAATCTCTCCCCTCTCCCTTCCCCCTCAATCTCTCCCCTCTCCCTCCCCCTTTCCCCTCAATCTCTCCTCTTTCCCTTCATCCTCTCCCATCTCCCCTTCCCCCTTTCCCCTCAATCTCTCCCCTCTCCCTCCCCCTTTCCCCTCAATCTCTCCTCTTTCCCTTCATCCTCTCCCATCTCCCTTCCCCCTTTCCCCTCAATCTCTCCCCTCTCCCCTCATTAAGCTCCCCCTCCTGACTGCCGCTGCGGTGTCTCCCCGGCCTGTAATTCCCGTCGTTTAGCGTATGAATGCGAAGCGAAGACCTCAACTTCGACGAAACTTCGACAATCAAGAGTCATCAGTCATTCTGGGAGTCGGAGGAACAAAGACCCGGAGCAACAACGTAACTTAGAAAAAAAAAGAAAAGAAAGAAAAAGAAAGAAGAAGAAAATCGTTTTGTTCATTAGAAAAGTCGAAAGAGAAAGTCTAGGAAAAGAAAGGAGAATAAAATAGAAAAAGAAAAGGCGTGGGGAGGGGAAGGGGGAAAGGGGGAAGGGGGGGAAGGGTGGGAAGGGAGGGGGGAGGGTGGGAAGGGAGGAGGGAGGGGGGAAGGGAGGAGGGAGGGGGAAGGAGAGAGGAAAATATACAGAATCAGGTTTTGTTGCAAAATCACTATCATTTAAATGCATGACTACGAGATTCCCTTTCTATTTCTTTTTTTTTTTTGTGTAATAATTTCGAACATAACTATCATCAAGGTGAGTTACCTACTAGGGAATATTTGGCCTGGAGATCTTCGCAGAAGCAATCAGCATAATGCAAGTCTTACTGTGCTTTGTGTTTGGAAGATTGTAAATATATGTCTGTGACTGCACACGCAAGGCGGCGCCATACGTTTGAAGTCAAAGGCAAGGTAAATTGGACACCCTGAGGTAGTCTGAGGAAATAAGATCTCCGGAGACATTTGGAAACCTTGCTCGTCGCGTGGGGACTTATAAGCTCACTTGCTGACCTTCCGCCGTTTAGTGACCTTTATTTTCTCTTTTCCCCTCTTTTCTTTTCATTCCATCTGCCTACCTATCTTTTTTTTCCACTTCCTCTCTCTCGTCTTCCCTTGCTTGATTTTCAGTCTGTCTGTCTCCGTCTCTTCTCATATGCCTAGCACTTTTTTCTTCCTAATTGTACCTATAAAAAACTCTATTCTACATCCAAAAAACGAAGCCAAAACAAACAAACAAACAGAAAAAATACATAGAAAAAATGTAACAACGAAGAAAACGAAAAAGAAGAACATACAAGAAGAAGAGAAGGAGAAGAGAGAGAAAGAGAGAGAGAGAGAGA